AAAAACTGCGGGGAACTCTGCAAAAAACGCATCTTCGCACGGACAGCTCGTGCGTTGGCCAATTATATTCGTTTAAGATCAAGTGAAAAAGCATTTGTTAATGTGGGCGCACATCAGGCCGATCACTTGATAATGGAAGCTAAAACAGCACACAGACAAGGAAGACGTAAACAAACCGGGCGACCAAAGGATATCTAAAACTCAAATGGTCCAACCTCAAACTCCAACTGCGAACGGTCATCCCGCACAAACAATGTATTTTAATGACTAAGTAGCCGGCTAAAACCAAAATCGAATCCCCTGAAAGTCTTAGCTTCTGTACAGAAGAAAAATACTGCATCAGTGGCACGAACGTTTCACAACTTTTTGTCTTTACTGGCCACCACGAAAAAAGCAGCGCGAAAAAAGGCAGCTCCATTCCAAGCCTTTAAGTTATGTCGTTCTCAAAAATTTGGACATTTGAAAAAAAAAAGCAAGAGAACTGTAAAAAAAGCAGAGAAACGAAACTTTTTCGCATTTTACGGGCAAAATCATGCAACATTTCAGGAAACTGTAAACTTGCCTGAATGTTTCCACCACCTTTGATATCTGTTCACAGAGACTGAGAGAATTCTGGTTTGTTTCGAAACTGGCATATGAAAAGTTCGATTCGGGTGTCACGTGGATCGTGATGTATTGATTCTGGAAAACCATTAGAATGGAGGACTGTTAAGCAAATATAGTGCTTCACAGATAAATCAACATTTCTTCTGACCCACCGTGTGCGGAAGCAGACCGTTCAAGCTATATCCGCAAGGATCGAATAATTCTTCATGAATAATAGCATTAGCCGGAAGCAGATCATTTATACCGCATTTCTGAAATAAATCATTTTGGTGAAACAGACTCGTGTTCCCCGTCACTCCAAAAAAAAATCCACTAAATTCTCTAAAATCTGCTAACCGTACGAAAGCAAATTATGCATTAACCAGCAAGATGTAAAACATTCGACAGGTACAGCAGAGCAAGGGATGGGAAACTGAAGAAACGGCAGTGGTCCGAATTTGCCCAACAACAAGCTATGCAGGTGTATTTTTCACTCCATCAAGCATTAAAATGCTTCTTAAGTGGCATCAGGCGACACTGGTTTATCACTCTTATTTACTGCGTAATGTTTTTGCTAAAAACATCAGCCGCTGGCACGACTGCGAGT